TGACAATTCTTAGCAACAGCCATGTTCAATTATTTGATAAGAAGCCATTGTGTGTGTGTGTGTGTGTGTGTGTGTGTGTGCGTGCGTGTGTGTGTGTGGGTGAGTGGGTGGGTGGGTGTGTGTGGGTGTGTTTTATGAATGTATTTGTAGTCTTTGGTGTGTAAACGGGCTTGCGTGATAAATTGTTTGTATTGTGCGTGTGTGGCTTGAGTATATGTGTGTGAGTGTGATTAAGTTGTATAATAATACAACACAAGCAGTAGTCTATGTGTCTGCGTGTGTGTGCGTGTGTGTGTGGGGGGCGCGCGTTCGTCTCTTTGTTTGACATGTTGATGTATTTTGGTGAATGCGATTAACCATTAAGATAGAGTCTGGCAGTTTGTTAGTTTGAAAATGACAACGGTGCACGCGGGCTCTAACGCCCGCTTCTTCTGTGAAATTCAAAATGTGGATGTACGTGTGAATGGTAAATGTACGTGTGGATGTATGTGTAGATGCATAAGTATGCGTCATTTCGTTAGTGCCAGGACTTAAACGAACGAAGTTTAATTAATTTGAAAAGAAGTATCGAATGAGCAAGCGAGTATAATGCGTTGTGGTTGTTGTAACATCAAGATGAGTCGAGCTAGCACGCGTGAAGACTCAGTTGAATGTTCATTAGACACGTTCAAACAATCAGAATCAGATCAGAGATCATTTCAAGATCCATTCCAATTTTTTGTACTGTTATTCAAGAAGGAATTGCTTTTATCTGAAAACTTCATCAAATGTTTTTCAGATTTGTGGTTTATTACATGCCAGAGAAAGAAAGAGGGAGTGAGAGTGGGAGAGAGAGATGTACGCAGAAAAAAATAACAAGCATAGTGGTGTTGAATGGGTACACAAATTTGTATTTAAATTTTCACGTCATAATCATTATCTTTATCCTAAAATGTTTTATCATCATTATTTAACAACATCCTCATCATTAAAATTCAAACTTGGTTAAAAACATTTGTCATAGGATTTATTTTTAATTATTGTCAACATCAATATAAACATCATCGTCATTAATAGACTAGCATCATCATCAACAACAACAACATCATTTTCAACATCATCATAAGTAAAGAAACACCATCATCATCATCATCACCATAATCATCAATAAACAAACATCACTTAACGAGCATGAACAAATTAAAGCGGGAATTAGCATTCAATTGACACTAGCGATGATCCGTGCAAATGTGTTTCGAAGAATGTTCCACCAACATGTACTGTACAAATGCTGGAATATCAAGTGTGTGTGTGTGTGTTTGAGTGTGTGCGTGTGGTGTGTATGCGTGTTTTTTATTGGTTGGCTGATTGGCTGATTGGTCGTCGGTCGGTTTATGGCTAGGGGTGCAAAATCGTTCTACGGCTTGTCATGTTGGTTGATCTCTAATGTCAAATTTTAACTTTTTCGCAATTATAAAAATTCCGTGTAATGCTAAGCACAGGAAACTTTTTTAATTTTAATTTCTTTTTGTACGTATTTTACAAGTAGTGCCAAGTTGCTATTTTTCAGCAAGTTTTTTTAAAAATAAAAATTTGTATTGCAAATAAACACCAGAATTTATGGCAAATGTCGTTTGAAATGCTTCATGTTTACTCTTGCAAACTCCGCCAAACGTTTTCATAATAAATTCTATACAAGTTTGTTTCTGTGCCATTCTTTGCCATTTTCTGTGCCATGTTTCTGCCCAATGCCCATGCAAGCTTGACTATAAATTGTAGATTAAGTTTTTCTAAATGCTGACGACGTTCAGCATTTCTCAGTTTCTTGCGAAAAAGTTCTGACCGCGCCAGAGGTTTGGTTCAAATATTCCATATTATTTCTGCATAAATTAAAAAATTGGAACGTGATTTCAAGAGAAAATAAAGAAATATTTTGCAATTTTTGATAACAGGTTATGACGATCCTAGTCAACAAAAATGTTGTTTACAAATTAAAATTTTCTGACTTCAAAATTAATTAATTAATTAATCGTAAACATTTTAATAGCGATTTATTTATCAAATAGAATCTCACATTACTGCTTCTAACAAATTATGCAACATGTATGGATTTTATTGAAAATTTCTTATTTATAGTTTTTTACTTAAAATTCAAATTCAATTCTTAATTCGATTTTATCAATCTGTCGAATTAAGCACGACCATTCTCTTTTGTTTAATCCGACAAATGATCTTTTAATAAATCACTAATCTATTATATTCAAATCTCTCTAGGCTTAAACTATAAATGTGCAAGTTTAACGAAATCGTTAAGCTATAAATTTCACGCTTAGATAAAATTAATCTGAAATTAAATAATTCACATCAGGTCGGACGAAGAGGCTGACATATCGCCAAGTTTAATTGTCACCCTGCTTAAAAAAATTCTTTTCGAAAAGAAGTTTTGGCAAAATGAGTGCAAGGTTGTAATGAAAAATAGTTTACAAAGTTTCGTCAACAAATATGTAGAACAAGCAATAAATAACACAATTTATTATAATATAAAATAAAAAATGTTTAATTTTTTAGAAGATGCGATCGAAGTTGGCCGGCGTGTCGATGGCGATGGAAGACATGAAGAAGTCCCTGGATAGGGAGAATGCGTTGAGAGTTAGTGCCGAGAATGAACTCAAAGATCTCAAAATGTCCTTGGTCAAAAATAAACTGAGCAAACAGGTTTGTTCTAACTTCCAACAATTATTATACAATATCAACTCAACAACACACAATAGCAATTCTTTATATGATAATTTGTTTTCATGGCATGTGTCATTTATAAGATGAAAGGTTTTAAATGTAGAAGAGTACAAAATTTAAACCTTTAACATTCATAAAAGTTTTTTAAAAGTTTTAACATTCAATTCTTAATTAAATGATGTATGCATTTAAATCGCTTTAATTCAGAACTCCCGTTTGGTTAGAAAATTGGAATCCACTGGAAGGTTAGAGAAGTTGGTAAATGATGTTAATGAAAAGTTGGAGAGTGAACTGGATGCTTTGAGAAAGGAGAGACTTAGTAAGAAAGATTTCTGCAATTTTTCACTTTTTGCTATACTAAATCAGTAGTATAGTGAAGAAATATTTTTTCTAATAGAAACTTCGTTTGTTTCATTTGGCTTGAAGAAAGTGCTTACTGCAAAAGAAGAGATTAACCAACTGAAAATAGATAAAAATATGCTTCTGCTACAGGCATGTCGTTTATTTTATACATCTCCACTTTTTCAGCCTTTTAAATCAATGAGGGAACACTTTAATTACTTTTGCAGCTTGAGACTCTGGCCATTCAGAATGCTTTGCAAGAGAAACACATGCTTCAGATGGAGCTGCAACTTCAGAGACTCGACAAGTCGGTCGATGGTCGGTCTGAAAATGATTCAAAAGAAGACATCGCGGAGAACATTCCTGAAGATCCGATTGTTAACCCCGAGACTTTAGAAAATCAAAATTTTAACGCAAATTGCAGTAATATAATAATACGAAGCTGCACTAAGAAGGACGAAGGAAATAAACTAAATATAAACAAAAAAGTAGGTTTTGAATGTTCCGAACTGTTAGAAAAGAACTGTCCAAAAAATGACCGTCCACAAAAATCAAAAGCCTCGTCTCTTGAAAGACATCACTTGAAAAATAGCGACATTAAAAAATGTTTGCAGGAATTTGATCCGCTCTACCATCTAAATTGAGAAAAATTATATATTCTAAATATTTTGATTCATTTGCCAAAAAACTATTTTTTTATTCAAAACTGGATAGTTTAAAGTTGTAGTTTATGAAACAGGAAGCATTATTTCATAAAAATATTAAGTTATGATCACTGAATTATCAAAAATGAATTCGCTAAACATAAAATAATAAACTGGACATGGCTTAAATTTTAAATTATTGAAAATTTTAAATATATATGCATGTGATCAGTGAATTGCATGTCATTTAATTGTCATTTATGTAACCTAATCTGATTTGAGAGTTCGCGATATAAATTTGTCCAAATATGTACCTCGCAAACCTGCATCTTTTAAATTCTACCTGAATAAGTGACTCATATTTAAATAGTACAAAAACAAATGGAGTATAGATTATATATTGGAACGCTGGCATGGACTGAAAACTGGACATTCATCAAAACTGTCTGAGAAAGCAAGATGTGATGGAAAAAACAATCAAAATGTACCTCTTGGATAGCTTTTAGTTTAGACGTAAAAAAAGATTTCAAGCAGTTGAATGATGGAATGAGTAGCAATGTTGAAATTTTGAACTTTTAAAATGACAAAGAAACAACAAACGGACAATTGAAAGATGAAGGCAAAAGGCTTGGTTGGTTAGTGGTGTTGAAGAAACTCTTCCCACTGCATGCAATGAAACGTTGCAGGAAGTTACAAAGAATGGAAATATTATTTATTGTGAGACAATTATAAAGACACCTTTTGAAAAAGGCAGATGATGATATTGATGATAAAATAAATATTAGCATTGGAATTGAGTTATAGAACTTGAACTTTACGTTCGAACAATTGCATATGCAATTAATACTCATTCAAAGCAGCTCATTTTTCCAACGTTCAATCAATCATCAACCAATTAGCTTATAAAGTGCTATTTCCGCGATGTTCAACAGCGCTCTTCAATGAATTTTGCAAACAAATGGGTCTTGAGATCCGCTCTTAATTTCGTAAATGATAGAGAAGTAGTCAGAGAAGTAGTCAGAGAAGTAGGTAGAGAGTACCAGAGATAAGGACCAGAAAAAGCAAAAGCAGATTTAGCAAAAGAGTGTTTAACACGAGTTAAGAAGAAGTGAGAACAAGAAGACGATCGTAAACCGGGGCGCTTAGGTTCAATTAATATATTTGATAAGTACTTAGGAAATAATTTAGATTGAGACTTATACATAAATGTGCAAATTTTAAAAATTATTTTATATTTTATAGGTAGCTAGTGCAAGAGAACAAGATATGGAGATATATGAGAAAAGGAATGGGCACGAGCAACTAGACGAGCAGCAGAGTTAAAAGCTTTACTTAAAGGATAAAGTGTAGAATCAGAAAAACCATAGTAGAGTTAATTACAAGAAGGAGAAGAGTAGGATCATCAAGAAAAGGCAAAAGTTTTTTTATTCTACGTAGATGAAAGTAAGAACTTCTAGCAACACTATTACAATAAGATGAGACGATAATCTAAAATGGTGGAAAACGGCAATGCTTGGCTCTATAATTTAATTTGCCAAAATCCTAGTATTCATTGAGTTATTCTACATATGTGCCATATCTGAAGGTGAATAAGAAATTCTTGAAACAAAACGTTTTTGTATTCAATGAATAAGCGTTAATAATGATTATTTTATCATTCAGGTATAATGGCCACCATGCATATAATTCAATGTATTTTATGTTGATTGGAATTAAGTAAATTTTAATTTCAGTTTATTTTTAATTAAATTTTTAGTAATACGTCAACAGCATAGATGCATGATAAATTTTCTATGATAGAATATAACACAAACAAACAATAATGGCGGCCACCGACGAGAAGGCAGGCAAGATAAAAAACAGCATTCAAACAAAATTAAACAATTGTGAATTCTACGAAGCTCACCAACTCTACAAAGTTTTATTTTTTAGGTATTTATAAATAAATTTGGTATTTATTGAAATTTTTCACTTTCTTTATTACAGGTTCATTACACATTCATTTTAAAATTTAAATTAATTTAAAAACTGAGGGCCATATAATGGGACAGGATGACACTTGTCTAAAAAAATCAACAAACTTTCCCTAATCCTATCTCTAACCTTGAAATTCATCAACTCTCAATTAATACTAAATGTGATTATTAACTGAAAATTATTTATTTGTATTTATTTATATAGTAAATTATAAAATTATTTACTTTACGAACTTTTTATTTTTCCAAAAACAGAATGCTGAATTTTATATATTTTTTATTATATTTTTGTTTTAAATAATATTGTATATTAGGCAACCATCTTACTTAAATGCGAATAGATGTTAAATAAGTTTTTATTATGTTATTATGGCCTGATTAATAGTTGATAGTATCAACTTGATACTAAACAAAAAAATTGTAACAAAATAAATAATATTAAAGATTAAATGCATTAAAAAAATAATTATAAATAGCAAAAGGTGAAATGTATGATAAAAAAAAAGTAAAAAATGATAAATTAAGAAAAATCTAACAGTCTACTAACTAAATACTAACTAGACACTACTAAACTTTAACTATAATGTATTTGAATAAATGAAAATAATTTTAAATAAATCAAAAAGATACAGTTCACAAAAGAAAAACAAAGAAGCCCTTGATTTAACTTATGATGGATCTTTGGCCTTATTCAATGCACAGCAGGTATGTTTACCCAGTTAATTAACTTTTATGGTCGGATCTCTGTTTTTTCAAAATTATGTTTCAATTTTAAGCCCTTTGCAATGAAATTTTGCTTACAACAATCAAAATTGATTACTATCATAAATTTTTGCAGATGTCCAGTGGTGTTGATTTGGCACTCATTTTTGTTGATTTTCTTGAAAAGTCCAATGCCACACCCGATAGTGAAAATATAGGTTGGCTCTGTGTTTTCTTTACCATTCATATTATTGACTGACTAGTTTTTATTTTTACAATAATATTTCTGATAGACAAGAATTTAGTTAGCACCTTTCATCAATATATTATTATCACTAATATTTCTTTTTCTGCCTCGGTATGAATATCCTAAAAGTTACAACATGTATTAACAAATTATTAATTAATCATTAAAATTTTTGTTTTTTAGCCAGAGTATCAAAGTTACACAGTCTTATTGCAATGGATCATGTCGAACGACAAAAGTTTGTCGGCTTGGCTCTACATTGGGTACACAAGTGCAGTCAGTCAGCTACTACATCAAATGGCACGTCACAACAACATTCATCAATGACTCCATCCTCTTCTTCATCTATTGAAACCACTGCCTCGTGCACTGCAAATGTGAAAGGAAGTGCTTTGTTACATGGGGAGTTTGGCATTAATTATTGGCATGGTAAGTTATGATACTAACTTAAAGTAAGGTAGTACTTTGATAGACCTATAATGATGCTTTTTAACAAAACATTGCAGAAAAAGATTACATTCAGGCAAGATATCACCTGGTGAGATCGCACAAAGGGGAGGCTTGTGCATCCATGTTGATTGAGTATCATGTCACATGTGGCTATCCCAACGAAGTAGATCTCTTCATTGTTCAAGCCGTTCTACAGTTAGATGATACTCAATATTTCACATTTTTCAATACAATCATTGACTGCATCATAAAAACCTCAAAATGCCTTTCTCATTAGGATCTTGTGTCTGACAAACAAGCAGATAGCAGCCACATGTTTCAATCGCTACACATCCAAACACCCGCAAGTTGAAGCAGGCCCTCCCTATATCAAGCCACTTCTAAACTTCCTCTGGATGTTGCTTATTGCAATTGATAAGTTGGTTTCTTATAATTCTATTTTACATTATGCACATTCATATGCCTTGACTTGAGAGTGTGATTTTGGTCATTGATCAAATGATCACATGATAAATAATTTATTGTAACCTTACTGCTGCTTAACTACTATTACTATTACTGTTACTTTTAAAATATTTGTTCAACTTGCAATTTGCCAATGAATTTTTAACTAAAATGTTTTAATTTATTTCATTTTACTTTACTTTAAATTTTTTTTCTTTTTATATGCTAAAGGAAATGTTTTTATAAGCAGGTGTTTTTATTCATCTTATTCAAGTTACAATTGTTACAATGTTTCTGATGCAACGTTATCCTCACTAATTCTTTAAACCACTATGTTATTTTCATTCATAGCTACAAATTTCCTCCACTGATCTGTCTCAGTTTAAAAATATGTATTGAAATTTTTAATTGCAGAGGTAGTTTGAGCATATTCACAGTCTTGTGTGAGCAGTATGACTTGTCACTGAAGAGAGATCCCAGCTATCATGATGTTAGACTTTATTAACCACTTCAAATTAAATATTACCAATTAGCTCAAGAACTGCAAGAAGTTTACTGACTAATTAATTTGCAGTTGTTGAAAATATGTGCATATATGATATCTTGGTATCTCTTTGTTAGTGCTTGTTTATAAGCTAATGAATAAATTTTTACTTGCAGTATTTGGCAAGGATTGCTCATATTTTTTTTAATGTCAGCCCACCGAAAAAAAACAATTATGGAATTTTTGGTTAGCTTGTTATGATTTATTTTTATATTAAAATTTAATTTTTAATTAGAACTTTCATTTAAATAACAGCTAATTAGCTTACCATACAACACATGAACGTTAAAAATGACACGCAGGAAATATTTTGCCTGAGATCCTGAAGGGTGATGAGGAGAAAATGGAGCCTAGTCCTGTCGACCTAGATTGAACTCAACTGTTGTACACTAGTGAATCGTCAATAAAACAATTGATTAAACATTTTATTAATCTCCTTTAGGATCGAGTCTTTGGTTGATTGATTGATTAATTGGTTGATTGTTTGACTGATTGGTAATGACCGGTTTAGTGATTGATTGACAGATAAAGCTGTTTAATTGTCAAATCACCGGATGAATGGATGGTTCAATATTTTTTGCCAATTTGGTTTTAGCGTCAATCCTTTATTTGATTTTTAGAAATTTATTATAAAATATGATTTTTACAATTGTTTTTTTATATTTCATAAAATCATCCTATATATATATATATATTTATATATATATTTATATATATATATATATATATATATATATTTATATCAGAAAAATTGATATATTGTTTTTTACATACTGTACATTTATGAACAAGTATCTGAAAAATTACCTACGTAAAAAAAAGTTATATTTCAGTACTTTGGAAATATTCTTTATTAAGAAAAGATGCCTGAGATGGAGGAATGTGTGGTGATGAGATTAGGCTGGTTATCTCGATTTCGTCACACGCACTTGCTGCCGTGTTGTTGGCCTCTGTAACGTCCTTATTGCTTGGAGTTCTATTATTATTCACTCTGTGGCTACAATCAGTAACGTCTTCGGCACAATTAGCTTGAGGGTCATCTGAGTTTTGGATGGATGACACAATTATATTATTAACCATTTAGCTTTTTTGTCTCATACTAAACACTATCAATGAATTTTCCATTCCAAACAGTTTGTTAACATAATATAACATTAATAAAGAATATAACCGCCAAGAATATGACTTGAATAGCACAAATATACAGTGCAGCAAAAATAAAAACATGAACAGGAAACCGAAAATCAGGCAAGTGCCACCATCAAAATTACCTACAAAATCATCTTTTTTGAAAAAGGTAAAAAATGAATTAAATTTAATTAAATAAAAGTTAATCACTACTACTCGCAAACAAATATGCAACAATATGGTACTCAGATATATACGTACTTGCAATTCATATAAAATTTTGATAATGTTGAAAATTACTCACCAATGGAATTTTGAATTTCCAGATAAGTGACGGCATCTGACGATTTAGGTTCCAGGTAACAGATGTTTCTAGATGTTCTCAAGTCAGCACTGGTTTTAGAGTTTTGGAAGATGTTATTTATTACCTTTTTCATCGATAGATTTGTGGGGGTGGATCTTGAATGCACAACCACTGACGCCAGTCCATCTTTTATTTTACAATTGCTGTCACCATTTTTGCCTCTCAACAAACTTGTGGTCGGATGATCGTATTGAAATTTATGTGAATCACATGTGTCAGTTGACGCAATTTTTTTTCTGTTATTATGGATCTTCTTTTTACTTTGTTTGTTGTCGCCACCAACGTTATTGTTGTAAGATCTATTTACGAATGTGGTCACTAGCTGATGTTTGGTTGAATGAGGATTGCCACCCGGCTGGGAAATAATTTGGGGTTAAATATTTTTTGTTATTCCCAGCACAAAACTTAGTTTAATATAATCTAACAAATATCGAAAGGCCAGCGCACCTTCCATCAATGAAATTTTACTCAGTTTAACGTTTGTATAAGTTAGTTAAACTATAATTAAATCAAAAAGTATCACCTTTTAAACGTGCACAAATTGGGGTGAGAAAAAATAGGACCAGTTTTACTTGTTACACAAATTTGGCGTACTCACAAAAAAATACCGAGACCATAACTTCGCGAAAGTTACATTATTGATTTTTATTTTGCGTATATTTGAACCACAACTGCAGCTGACAACGTTTACAGACATTTCCTTTTTTCTACTCGCTTACTCGAACGTGCTCCCAACCCAACCATTTTTATAGACTAGTCCATCTAGCTAGATATTTTACGCTACTCACGGCGGAAAACAAAATGTTCTAGATACAAACCTTATTTTTTAGCAGCGTTTTCGTGATGCCTCCATTGACAACTAATGTATCGGGCAGGTTAGGCGCGGAAGACTTCGTGTATGTAGTTGCGTAGGTCGTCGTTGTTGTTCCTGCAGTTGATGGTGGTGGGGAGGGAGTTTGATTTGCTCCAAACTGCTGTTCAACAATGTATTCACCGGGAGATGTTTGTTGTCTATCGTGTTTTGTTCTGATGTACTTGGTTGTCACGTACGATATTCGGTTTTCCTTAGCTGATTTTTTTGACAATGCTGACTCTTCCTTCTGATGAAATGAATAATGATGAAGAAATCTATCCAATTTGCAAAGGATTATTTACATACAGTTCATTAATAAATAATTCATTAAAATTATTTATCTATAGTCTATCAATGCATAATTTTAATTGAAAAATGATTCATGGATGTTTAGAATTTAGAAGTTATACGTTATCCACTACCACTTAGCATTTATACCCTAACCGGGATGACAATGTATCTTGCAGGATCTTCAAGCATCTTGTTGAACTCCTCATGCAGTTGCAGGAACGTTGGACGACTGCATGCATCTACCAACCAGCCTTCCATTTAATTATTTTAAAAATGTCAGTCAAAACTAGCCAATAACTAACAGCAACTCAATGCAATTGACTTATAACAACCAACAAATTATAATTTTGCGACGTGCTTAACCATTTTGTTAGCAAACTTGTAAAGAAAAAGAATGCAATGAAGAGAATTTTAGTAAAAAAATAATTAAATTAAGAGAACATTTAGACATCAATGAACCGAGGATTAATCATGATCATCAGTAAACCAGCACTTAATGATGAGCTGACAACTCAACCATGATCATGTAAGCATCAATGAGAGCTAACATTTGATCATGATCATGTAGACATCGATGGTACAAACGGATGGCTGGTTCAACCTCTGTCCCATCTCCAGTACTTCAAGAAGACGTTGGGAAGACACATCCTCATACGGACGACAGCCGAATGTGAATAGTTCCCATAATGTGACACCTTGTTGAAATACAGTTAATATTTCAACGGCAACAATAACTTGGTGACAGTTACAACTGTGTACAAAAACAAAATGAGTGGCGTAATGACGCAATGGCTGAGGGCGCCTTGTCTTGTGGTACCTAGTCTGTATAACAAATATTAACCATAACTCCAGACGTCAGATTTGTGTGAAAATATCCTGTACTTGATGCTTTCAATAGACATCCACTTAACAGGCAGCTGTAAGGTAAGTTTTTTATGTTTTGTATGTTATTGTACCTAAAAAACATCATCGTCATTTGCATTATTTCATTATTATTTTCATGCGATGATGGCAAAAGTAATGTTTCTTAATATTTATGTACGTTATTGATAACATCCAGCTGGAAATAAAATTAATTAATGCGTTAACCAGTATTTACATTGAACACTGCCAAGGGAAATTAATGACGATATGATGCTTCGATAAATAACGCGATGTGGCGCCAAAGTATTCTCAAGTGCATTTCATTCATTACATCACTGTAGTATCTTATATTACGTACATTACATTTCGTACCACAAATGTTAACATAGCTGCATTTTTTGAAGAAAAAAAACTTCAAATGGATGGCACCTATTTGTATGTAACAATGTATAGAGCTGAGTTAAACACAATAATTTCATCGAGTTTAATATTTTGAAACAATAGTTGCACTGATTAATTTACTAAGGACTAACAAAGATGCAAGCAAACAAACAATCAAACAAATTTCCGAACAGAGAAACACGCGTTTAAACAGACAAAAAGGTAGATAAACAAAAAAACAAGCAGACAAACACACCTACCTTTCCACCTCTTGATTGAAACTGTCCCTCCCTCCTATCTACCAACTTGGCCAATCCAAAATCTGTGATCTTCACTTTGAAGGAATCTTGCACTGTTATCATTTCATCATCATCATCATCCTCTTCACCAACATCAAAATAAAAAATTTTTAAAATTCCCAGTTTGACGTAGGTGTTTTCAAATATATAACAAACTAACATGAGATTAAAAAGAATTCTCAACTATAAATAAATCTGCCTCAAATTAACTAAACATATAAAAATGCAAATGCGACACCAAATGAAGCAACATCAACATTCAATAACTCAGCTGTAAGAAACTTTTAAAAGCCGACTACCTAAGACATTTCTGGCAGCCAGATCTCTGTGCACGATGTTCTTCTGCTCCAAATATGACATTCCCTAGTTCAGTTGTCGTGGTTGTTGATGGTTGATGATGATGAAATGTTGCTGAACCGATGATGAAGCGATGACAAACAGACAATGAAGTGATAATGATATTTATTGCTCGTTGTTAGTAATGTTGAAATTAAATAATAATAATTGATTTTGTGTTGGCATTGATTGTTCGCTAACAAAGTTTCCTAATTATGGGCAAGTATCAATCAAATACATGTAAATCAAACTGCACAGAAGTAGTGTTTATTTTAAGAAATCATAAAAGTGAGTATCACATGAGCAATCTGCATGGCCCAGGTGACGAGATGTTTCGAGCCAATCTTCTGTTCGAACTTTTTGACGTACTCGAGAAGACATCCGAGCGGCATCAACTGGCTGATCAACATGATGGGAGAAGTCACGCAGATGGCAAGAATCTGCACACAACATGGATGCATGACCGATGCCATGATGTGCGCCTCACCTAAGATGGAGTTCTCTGAGTTACTCTCGTCATCTGCACCGCTCGGTAGGTAATGTTCTGTTAACACTTTGATGGCCACTGGAATTTTCATGTTTCTGGTTCCCTCTGGTGTCCAATAACCCTTTGAAACAGTTTTGAAAAAATCTGTGAGTTTTTGCTATTGCTAGATATCAAAGTTTTGCAAAATATAATAAATGATCTTCTTAGAATGATTCTTTAAAAAATTCCGGTGAACTACAGAACAAAAATTTTTATCAAACTTTAAATCTATTTAAATAAAAATAAACAACATTAACACTCTCGACCATATCGGCAACATCAGCAAATCAGTTTGGATCCACATCACCATCATAAGCAACATCAGCTGGCATAAATGAAACCTTATAAACAGTTCCAAATGCACCAGATCCGATTACATTCTTCCTCTTCAACTCGTTCTCGCGGATCAGTCGAAGTCGAGACATGTCAGGCTTCACGTCACTTTCTCTGGTGCTCTGAAGTGATATTTGCAATGGAAATATTTCAAGTATCAAAATAAATAGGAACTTTATGAAATAAATGATAATATCGTTCCAACATAGTTGGTGATCCAAGTTGGAATTTATTCATTTATTAATTTTTTCATTCATTCATTCATTCATTCATAATCTCGATAGAATATGTTCTCAGAGAGCTTTTGAGTTGTTAATACATTGAAGAGCAAACAAAGCACGACTCATACAAGCTAGAATTTAAAGTTGTGTGATTAGACGGACGATTGATTAATTAGTATTAATTTACTAAAGCCATCAGTCAAATTAGTTTATTTTCAACACATGGTCAGTTTCCTTTAACATTGAATATAACCAAAGAAATGCCAACTTTTTTTTGAAAAGGAGACAGCTTCAATGTAAGTAAACAACAAGAGGAAAATTTTAGTTATTTCCGTTTTTTCAAAAGTCATAGAAAAATTGGCTAACACAGAAGATGGACATATTTTACAACATGGTTTCAGAGAAAACTTTAACGGAAACGGCCATCTTAGAAGTCTGTCCCAGAAGTCTTTTTTTCATTTTAGTTTATTTATGTCACACAACATGTTTAGGCGTCTGGTTTTATTGAAAATATATAACCAAATAAAATGAATGAATAGTAAATAAGCAACAGAAATTTGTGATAAATTATAATATATCCATCATATCATAATAATTATTAATGAAAATGTTAAATTGAAGGCATTTTAAATAAATGAATAAATAAAAATGCGAAGAAGACTTCATCATTGTTGTTGATATATTCTATGAATTCCGAATCAATTTCGTCTTTTCTGTTCGTTCTCTTTTTCCTCTGAATCAGCAAAGCAACCAACAGGACAAACATGACCAGAGCGAACAGGAGAGGAAGTGCCAGACTGATAACGTTTGGTTTCCTGTCTTCAAGTTGACTGTTGTATTTCGAATTCATCATAAAAATACATTAAACATAAATTATTCATATAAAACTCTAAATTAATTTATAAAATTTAAAATAGTTCAAATGTCAAATTAAATTTGAACAACCTTTTAATAGCAGCAGATGTGACACAGAATAGATTGGAATGCAAAAGCATCGTGAAAGGCAAGTCTGTGGGGCATTCGTCCGTGCAGTTCAGCTAGAAATGTAATTGCAGTAGTAATAGTTATTCATTCTCATTGCATTACTCAGAGGTATTACGACACCATGCGACGTCTTTGAATGTTTTGTACGTGTTTCTTCTTTTTAATTGCGTTATACTCAGAGCTATAAACGCCACACACAGCCTATGTGAATACACGTGAATAGATGTATAACATGTACTGCGTATGACTGCAACACAGGACAAGGTCCTTTCGCCAATCTCGTAAGTGTGTTTTCAAACAATAAGCTTAGTTTTATATAATGTAAAAAGCAAGCGTAATAAAAGTTAAAAAAATGTTCTCATTAAAATTACAACAACGTCATAACACGCCTCCAGAAAAAATTGCACCCACCTGCTTCATACTAGAATTGTTGTCACCGTCATAAGTATCATGAACAGCAGTAGCACCATTCCAAAAAGCAGGATACTCTTGAAGGGAAATATGAGGGATGGCAAAGTGCATACAAGAGGTGCAGTTGTCAGCAGATGGTCCGTTGCACGTTCTGCAGAGTGGATGACACCTAAAGCATTCATCTGACCCATCCACGCCATCTGCATACCACCCCAATGAACATGATCGCACGCACACATCCTTCTCTTTAAAGTTGCGACACTTAGAGCATCCGTACTGCATGGAGCTGCCTGGTCCTCTGCATGTCTCGCACTCCGCATGGCATCTCCTGCATACTCCCTGAGAGGAGTCAACAACAAACAACTCAACACCGACAACAAACAACTCAACACCAACAACAATCAACTCAACACTGACAACAAACATCTCAACACTAACAACAATCAACTCAAAACTAACAACTCAACACTGACAACAATCAACTCAACACCAACAACAAACAACTCAACAACAAACAACTCAACACTTGCAATGAAACGTCACACAACAATAGATAAAAATAAAACGATAAATGTTGGTCAACATGTGAAACCATCAACAAATTCTAATAATAAATTTAAATCTACCAAACAATTAACTTTAATCAATTAATTGTAATTCCCTGAACATAATATAATAATTTTTTTTAAATAATAGTCAATTGACTATAATTATTTACTATTTTATTAATTTTAATATACCAAATAATCAATTCTGCTCAACTAAACATTAATTAAAATACATATAAATACAAATATAAGTTGTAATTGTCATCCACCAACAAGTCTAGTCCAATCTAGCAATCGATAAATTATATCATCAAATGAATGAATAAACTACGTCTTACCAGCTTGGCAACTGGTTCGTAGTGAGGATGTTTGAAGTGGTGGTCCAAGTAGAATCCCTCGGGGCAAATATGCTCCAGACTGCTAGCATTTATACACACAACTTTCGTTATAATTCTGCTAATGTTTTTATGGGCGTCACCTCCAGGAAAAACCGTGCGACTTATTTTGTTTTTATTCTTCTTATTATTGGTGTCGTCATAACTGCTCTCGTTATGAAGAGTTTCATTTCTCAAGTTGTCACGACTTCCGTTAAGAGTTCTTTTTCTGCCCAACACTGCTTCCTGGCCGTGCTCGCCTGAATAATTAACTCCTTCCTTTAAATCATAAGCATCGTCAGTAGCACGGCCATCATCATCATCATCATCATTTGAAAGTAGTCCAAGAAAGCACATGTTACAGCCAAATCTTCCAAGGTGTGTGTTGTTGCCTGTGCATCCATTGTAGCACACGGATGAACATTGTTTGCATGTTCCGTGCTTTCCAGCTGTTTGCTTATTACTACTCGCTATGCTGTTCACATTGTTAGCTATCTTATTAAGTTTTAGATTTGTCTCATTGCTATTTGCAGTATTTCCCGTGTTTTCGATATCATCTGTATCATTTTCATCACCATAATTATTATCAGCTTCATCATCGGCTTTGAAAACATCCTCAACAACATCGTCGTCGTCTTCAACGTAATATCCGACTGGACAGTGAGATACACATGTACTTCCTAGTTGGGTATGTTTACATCCCTCCAGACAATCATCACCGTCCTGTTATTATATGTGCATGATTGATGGGTGGTTGGTTGATGGGTGGATGGTTGAATGGTGATTGGTTGAATGAGAGGTTGGATGGTGGTTGGTTGAATGGGAGATTGGATGGTGGTTGTTAGATGAGTGAGTAGTTGTATCAGTGTGCAGTATAACTAATAATGAAAAAAAAATCATGATTAAGATGATTGTTGTACATGAGAGTTGATACAGCAAGATTGATTTGATGTAAGAGTCATGTTTTGTTAACCCATCAACCAACGTCAATTGACATCGTGCGTACAAATGCTACCACTGCCTCATCATAACAATGAAACGTCATCCATCACCCACAATGCTCAGTCAAACCATAACAAACCCATCCAGTTCAGTAGTCACCATTTAAAGGGCCAAAATAATAATCAAGCACAAACATGACATGACATTAAAAAGAGCGGCAAAAACAAATACTTCCATAAACTCATAATTTAAAATTTAGCAAAAATTAATAAAGATATAAAATTTAAAAAATAAGAAAAAATAAGAAAGCATTAAAAGAATAAACGAACAAGACATCCGTCCGCGGAACATGATCTAATGTGTTTCTAACATTAGGCCAACTCCATTTGTGCCTCGCCTACTCCGCCTACTCCACTTACTAGAGGCCCCGCCAAACAAACGACGGCAGCCGGCAAACGCAAAAAGAAATGATCAGTGCGCGAAAATGTTTAATACTTTCATGCACTTCATTTCAACAGGCAGCCCTGATGGGGCCTGAAGACGGGTAACCCCAGGCTACAACGTACATTTTATTGGCAACAATTTGGCTTGAAAACTTTAAATAGAGGCGGACACTAACATCAAATAAGACAGAAACATAATATGAAGCATGGGACATTGTACACGCACGCAGACACAAGCGCCAAATGAAACACAACGACCAAAGAGTACTAACTGGACCAGAGCAAGGTCCAAGACATTCCTGATGGCATGCACCACATAACTTTGTTTTGTTGATCTGATACAAATGGACCTCAGCATTTGAATGAATGGTGCAGTCAGGCAGACATTCGCCGTTATAATTCATGTTCCTACAATGAATGCATTGAGAAGTGCCCGGGCCCATGCATCCATGCACTTCACTGCACTCTTCTGAACATAGCATTTTCATAAGTTCTGTAATGTAGTTTGACAAGCAGGTAATTAAAAAATATAATTAATGATATAAATTAAATGATTTAAAAAAGCAAATTCCACAATTGTGCTGATGTGATGATAAACACAAAAATACTGAGTACACTACATTTACTCTTAGTGCACTTAAGTAGAAAGATGATGATATGTGGTTGGCCGTAGTAGATGGATAGAGCAGGATGCCACAGAACGACAATGCATGCGGTATAATGCTAAATGACCGATTGTCATGTTGAAACTTCCTATCATCCCTCACTGAAACCCAACCATGTTATCAACGTGTTGTGTGTGTGTGTGTGTGTGTGTGTGTGTGTGTGTGTGTGTGTGTGTGTGTGTGTGTGTGTGTGTGTGTATGACAGCGTAAGCCCAGTTACATTCAATTGTTAACAAATATCAGCTCAGTAAATGTGAATCAAGCAATTATTTAAAAACAAGCGATGCTTTTTCGATCCAGAAAATGCTACTCGAGCACTCGAGCAGTCGTATTCGTGGCATTCAATTGTTTATCCACTTCTTGAAATAAAATGATGAAACAGAAAACGTTCTAAGACGAGAAGAGCAGACTTTAAGCATGTTTACAAGGATCTATGTGCTTTTGCTTCTATGTTCGACCATGATAATAATGCTGATGGTGTGTGTTTGTGTGAGGTTGTGTGTGTGTGTGTGTGTTTTGCACAAACTGTGTGTGTGAGATAAAAAGAGAGAGAGAGAGAGAGAGAGAGAGAGAGAGACTGCAGATGTTGTATGGGTAAAAGATTGTTGCATGTGTGAAGATGAACGGGCAGATGTTAGTATATGTGTGAAAATAGGCAGATGCGTTTGTGTTCACGTGTGTGCCTGTGCAAGTTTATGAAGGTGCCTGTGTGTGTGTGCTCGCGTTTGCCGAAACACTGACAAAGTTTTGTTCATGAAGTTCAAATATATATATATAAATAATAATAATATAAATATATATATATATATATATATATATATATATATATATATATATATATATATATATATATATTCATTGGATTACCGAAAAATAAATGTATTTAAGAGTGCACATGACATGGTAGGCTTAATAAGGAGAGGACAAATATGTTAGTAACAAGTGGTATGATGCAACCAATTAAGAACAAATCAAGATAGTTAAATTTTGGACAACAAATGTTTCAAGTAGGATTAAAGTGAAGATATGACTAGGAGGTAGCAAGCATTGGGTAGGTGCTGGTGCAAGTACAACTGTGTTGTTGCAGCAGCAAGTACAACTGTGTTGTTGCAGCAGCAAGTACAACTGTGTTGTTGCGTTCTATCATCGTTTGCAATGTGAAAACATGATAATCGATGTGTGTAGTTTTGCTACATTACAGCATTACGTTGTACATTTTATTTTCTGACTGGGTGGTTTCTATTAACTTTTTTATTTGATGTTTATTAACTTACTTTTTACAATGTAAATAAACTTTTGAAATATTTCTAGCTACATTTTGGCCCGCTATTACGAAAATGTAATGTATCACGTCGTAATGTTATACATCATCCTTATCATCGTCATCATCTTTATCATCACCATCTATGGCATCATCTTCATCATCATCTATGGCATTATTGCATTGCGCTGTCCCGGTGAAATGAACTGTGGTGTGGCATACTTGCATGGGTGCTTACGGCTGACATTAACGCATACGTTGATGCATGTGTTAATGTTATGTGTGTATGTGCGTATGTGAGTGTGTACCCATCACCATCGTTGTAATAATCCCCATTGTTGTCACCATCATCATCATCATCCTCATCATAATTGTCACGATATGTTATGTCGTGTTGTACTGAATTACATTTTGAAAACGGTATCATACTTCACATACGTAGCGCACAAAGAAGTAATGTGGCGCGCGTGTGTTTGTGCGTGCGTGTGTGCGCGTGTGTTTGTATGATGATGATGATAATGATGATGATGACGATGATGATGATGATGATGATGATGATGATGATGACGATGATGATGATGATGATGGTGATGATGATGATGGTGATGATGATGATGATGGTGATGATGATGATGATGATGATGGTAATGGTGATAATGATACCAATGACGGTGATGATGACTCTCTAAATGGTGGATGACAATGACGAAAATAACAACGAAGGACAGTGATGATGGATGGGAATTATGACGCTGAATGGAAAACTTCAAAGGTTAAAATTGAAACGAAGAAGATGATGAAGATGATATTGAAAAATCACAATGATGGTGTCAATTGTGACGTGCAATAATAGTGGCAAAAATGATGTCGCAAATGATGATGAAAATGACAAGAGTAATGATTATAAAGATGGCAAGAATGATGACGAAGATCGCAAGAATGATGGAACGATGAGGATGGTGAAAACCACAACAACTATTAGTAGTAGTTACAATTATAAAGACGCCAACAACAACAGCAACAACAACAACAACAGCAACAACAACAACAACTATAAGGACAAACTTGTCAACAAAAAGAGCATGACATGACGACAGCAAAACAGTGATCAAGATGATGAAAACTGACGAAAGACAACGTCCACCACTTACTGCAATTAGTGTCATTCATGTTGTTTCCAATTATGTCATCGCTATTATGACTTTTGTTGCCGTTAGAACGCATAAGAGGCCAGTTGATGGTGCTAGCAAGGCACAAGTGTTCATTGTCCAATATGTACACCCTGCCCCTTCTCACACTTCGCAGTTGAGACAGGCCCAAGAACTTGAAATTGGTGTTCTGGACAAACAATGACCACTTGCTGTGTGTATGTGTGTGTGTGTAATGTGTGTAATGTGTTTGTGTAATGTGTAATAATTTAAATATATAAATATATTGTTATTTGTAAAATTCCTAGTTTAATTTAAATAAGTATATAGAACAGCAATTATTAAATTAGAAGTCAATAAACTGCAATGAATTGACAATGGCCATTACTTTATAAACAAACATTACATAGGTAGGTAGTCATCATACTGACTCGTGGTACAACTTGCTTCCGCCGATAGTTTCCAAGTTCCTCAAGAAATAGAAACTGTCGACCTGCGGATGTCTCTTCAGCGAATTGATGACCAAGGAGCCCCTGATGTGCTGCACGTGCTCCATCAACATTAAAGATTCCACTGGCAGGGGTTCGATGCCATTTGCACGGTCACTGCAAAGACATTCAATTAGTTAGTGCACATTAGAGAGTATGGTTATTGTACAGTTAACAATTGTACAGACGGTCAATATAAAATTAAAGTGTATGCCATGACTGTACACTAATGGTATAATGGATGACCGCTCAATTAATGATTGTAAAATTTTTTCAATAGAAATTATCAAAAAGATTATTAACAAACTCAAACTTATTGCTTGAATAAGAATAACAAGTGAAATGTCACTGAACAATTTCGTTGTTAGTGTTACTATTTACGATGCTTCATTATTTTCACTTATTCTGTGCTTAGTATTTAACTTGATAGTTAAATAAAACATTACAAAAAATACCAAAACAACATAAAAAAAACAGTTTTTCCAAAAAAAAATTGTAATCTTTTTTATATAGGACAGATAAAAAAAACATTCAAGCAACAGCACAAAACAATCAATCAGTAATAGGATGAGGATAGTTCGTGGAAAGATTAATGATGAATGCAGGCAAACACGAATAGCCAACCCCAAAAAGGAGATGTCTGTTATGTGAATGTTGCCATCAACAATAGAGCAGTTGATGAAATTGTTGATGTTCTCCGACGACAAAACTTCATCTGTGCCCTTGCAAACATCTGCACAAACATGCATGTTCGTTCTTCAATTTCCTAACTCAATTGTTTGCCTTATTAGCAACTTTTATGATATTAAGACAAGGTTCAAAATATTATACTTCAATTATTAAATATAAATATTTCAAATAAACATTTAAATAATATACAATGTTTTTATTAACAATAAGAAAAAGTGTTCTGTACATTTTTTAATAATCATTTAAATAAAACTTGAAGAAGATTGAAAACATAATGCGGGATTGAAAAGTAGAGATCTGCAATGATGATTAGTTAAGCTAATTTCACATCTCAAACTTCATATACAAAAACAAAGTAGAAGACATATTAGTGACACGTTATGAGATTTCAAAAACATCACCACATGTTCTAACAGTATAACAATGATGCTCAATCAAACATGTCATTAGTACGTGGAGAGTTTTGTACCATGCAACGCAAACAATAACATAGCATGGATAATAATCTCGGCTGAAAGCTTTTTTTCGTTTTTGTATGATTGATTATTTGTCAACTTTTAAATATTATTTCATTATTATTTTATTATTTTATTGACAGTATGAAGTATCAATTGAAATATTTATTATTTGTAAATAATAATCAAAAGGGGGAAGGTTGAAATGTTGGGCATTTCTTTTCCTAGTTTCATTATGAACAATGTTTCACAAAACAACAACAAAACAGCGGAAGAAAATAAGCTCGCAAAAATAGCGATCGTAACAAATGGCATGAGAAAGAACTCAAGGTATTTCAGACAAAACAAAAACAAGTAAAAAACTATTCAATTAGGCAAGAGTGTCTGCTAACAAAGAGAATTTGGTAATTTTTAAATGATACTAATTCATGTGATGCGCGCAGGATTTGTGTTTCAATCAACAAACGTCAAACACTGAGACAAAGCATTTTGTAAATATAACATAACATAGCATATAACATAACAGGAGACTTGTTCAAACTAAAATTTTATAAAGAATATAATTAAAATCGATGTTGCTTTTAATCTTTGTTACATCATTTAATAACATAATTGAGAGCTAACATAACACTAACAAAGCATACCAACTGTAATTAATTTTTACTTCATCACCAATACTTTTGTCTATTATATCACCACTGTTGAGAATAAACCTATCATTCGAAAAGCTTTTCAGATGCAAAAATGTGTTAAAGTAAACACTTTTAGAGATTATTATTGTTCAATTGACAGACACTCAAACCTTCACATGCATTGTAAACAATTGTAACAATCGCACGCCTCATAAACGAACGTTAGAAGAACAAATCACATGCATTGTAAGCACATGTTGACGTCACGTACATCGTACACAAATGTAACAAGCAAAAGTGATAATGTACAAAAATAGGACTCTTTTTTGTAAACCCGGAATGAACGGCTGCAAATTCATTCTGCAAACAGACATTTGAAAGATTGCGAATCTCGTGCGATGCAATGTGAGCACAGTGCGAGTGGAACCCATAAAGCGGGGCGTAAAACGCGGACATAAACTTGAGCATTAAATAAAGAAGCATGCGTAGAACAATTACACACCTACCTTTGTTCGAGGCTGCATCGGAATAAGGCAAGCATAATCTGTCCGACAACGATGATGAATTTGAAAGAAGTGATGGAAATAACACTGACGTTGGTGAGGATGACAAAGATGTTTTGAAACCAGGTGAACATTCCTCAACACAGGCTCTGCCCTCTATGAGCAAGTTATCTAGAAATTGAATAAAAATTATTTGTGTTTTGGTTTAAAGTATTCTTATTAACTCATTTTATTTGCCTTCAGTTTTATATTATCTCGCGAAAAGTAGTTTGGTGATCTCAATAAAATTGGATCACATTTAATCATAAAAGCTATAAAAATATTGAAAACACCAAAAAAGTATTTATTCAAAGCTTAAACCAAATATGACAAAATGGTTTTATAATTAAATGTGGCTGTGGTCTGGTCTTGTGTTGCATTGACACGGTTTGAGCTCCAAAGGATCCCCGCTATTGTATTATATTTATATTATATCAATAATGATTAGACCAGATGATATGAATCACTTATCCGGGCTTCAGTTATGCAGTATGATAATTCATTGCAATTTGCAAACTAAATGGCTAACTCGATGATAAATGAAATAGCTTAAACTGATAATTCAGCAGAGGTTTCTCAGTGAATAATTAGATCTTAACTAATCAATTTTCAAATAGTCTCAAGACGACTGAAATCAGGGGCGTCATATAAGATTTTGGTTGGGGGGGCGAACTTATGTGGTCTATGACTTAGCATATATATATATATATATATATATATATATATATATTATTATATATAGATCATATATTTATATACAGTACTCAATCTATATGATAGTTTCTCGATTCTTCGAATAATTCTCCGATCTACTAAACTTAACTTGTTAATGCTATTAACAAAATTCCTATTTACAGAAGATGTCATTATCTACATGTATGCATATAGTACTATTTCCACTACCTAGTCTCGTCAGTGCAACATTATAATAAATTATACATTTTTAAAGTTTTAAAATTTCAAAATTTTTAAAGTTTTAAAATTACTAAATTATATATCCCATATATATCCTTTTTACAAAGAATTTAAAATTAACACTTTTATAATTTAAAACAGAACATGAATTATTGTAGGAACAAATGAAATAAATTGTGTAGTGCTTGACATTTAAAAATTCAAAAAGCACAATATTTTGTATATATAATTATAATAAATTATATAATTTTATATAATTATTTTATAGTGTTTGCAATTTTGTCATAATAATTTCGTACAGCAAAAATTTAGAATTTTGATTTCTTGGGGGGGGGGGCAATTGCCCCCCCTGCCTCCCCCCAAATGACGCCTCTGACTGAAATAAGTAATAATAACAAACATAATGACAGACAATAATAATAATAAGACTATGGTATTAGGTAAACATCGTTGTACCTGGGCAAGTATCAACGCAGAATGCATGGTGAGAGAATTTGATGCGTACATCTGATGATGTGTGTGATGCAGAATGTTTGAAAGTGGAAGCAACATGTGGCAAGCATGATTCCACACATCTCTCATCATCCTTATAATGTTTGCAAGCCTTTGAGATGAAATTTAATTTATGAGTAATATATATATATATGGGTGGATGTGGTAACATAAACCTGACGATGATTATTATTATTATTAAATGACACTTTGATTGGTATGCTACTAACAACGGTAACGTTGCAGTTGCAGCTAGAAACACTAATGAGAACTACAACGACTAACAAAAACATTTTTGGTGGCTGGTTCGTCTTTATCTTCATTAAATGTCCCAAAGCATTTTGATTCTAAACTGATAAACTAATTTGAAGTCCGTGCAATACAACAGTGAAATGCGAGCAATAAAAAGATAAAGAGCAGCAGCAGGAACTAACCAAGCATTCGGTGTCCTTAGGTCCCCAGCAACCAGCAGCACACTGTTGGTGGCAGCATTCATTCTCCCCTCTACCATAACATCTGCCTGCACCACAATGAGGCGAACATATCACTTTGCTTACTGTGTGTCAGGAGGAAATATTTCATGGATGATCACATATGTAATCTAGAGATTAAATTTCATGTGCACAAATAATATGCACACCTGAGCAAATCAAGTGTCTGCAAACGAAATAAATAACAAAAGATGAGTGTTTCTTTAAAGGACTAAACAAACAAAGTTGAAAGAGATGATAGAATTGTTGTTTGAGCTAATTAACAATTTGTAATTTGAAATTAACCCGAATTGGTTGAAAACAGGACAAAGGTGTAAAATGTATGGGAATATGCAGGATTATACACCGTACAATTATCGTTATAAAATTCATTTTTTGTGTTACAATCACTTGATTAACTTCACAACCAGTGTTTATCAAGAGTTCACATAATCATAGATAAATGAGATTATGAGCTTTTATTTCGAATCTAAATACATCTAAAAAAGAGAGAGAAAACTATAAAATGTAAAAAAAATCCAACAGTGAAGTTACAAAGGTCAATAACAAAGTTCAAATGATTCAACAAAGCGCACAAACATTGCAAATGAATACATGCTAAACGACGCATCACACACGAAGCATGTGATAGGCGAGGATTCTTTTATCATACTCGAACCCGGTGACTGCAAAACAGCACTAGGCGATTTTCAGAGTGTAGATGAGAGAAAATATAATGCTGACACTATATAACAAAATTTATCATATACCAAATTTAATAATTTACAAAGTAGCCAAACAAAAAGTTGAATAACAAAACGAGATCATCGAATCATCCATCCATCTGAAAGATCTAACATTTTTGGCAGAGAGGCTTATTCAGCTTCTTCCAACAATGTGATGTTTCTTTGTTGTCGTAATTTAATTTGCATACCATCGGGCAAGTTGAGCCTAGAGAAGCATTTGTGCTGAACATTTATAAATAACTATAATTTTCTAATTCATCCAAAGTCAAGCAAGCAAATATCTAATGAGTAAAATAAACAAATTATAAAAAAAAATAACAAAAAAATGTGTTTTTACATTTTTGTGGAACATTTGGACCTAATGTTATAATCTTGGAATTGGAATCAACAAAGAAATCTTTAAAACTCAAATTTTCTTCGAACAGGCATTTATAAGCAGTGTGCACCAAAATGTTCCCATATGAAATTTCTAAAAAGTAATATTTTTAAATTTTAAAAACAAACTTCACGATGAAGGTAAATTATTTTTATTTTTATGAATCTACCTCGAAGATTTTGAAACACCAAATTTGGGACTTTGTTTGGGTTAGTAAGTAAAACAACAAGGCTATTATCCTTGTGATGTTTATAACTTAATAAGGTTTGTCCCCTAATAATCTTCAACTTGGGCAATAATATTTCTTTGATGTCCACATTAAAAATTAACAAATATCCTGAAATTTCTTCAACATATTTTAAAAAACTCAGATCGTCATTGTGGTTCCTGATGTTGGTTAGTTCCAAATTTCCTTGAATGTGAGTACAATTGGTGAAGTAATTGTGAAGACGTTGTAATTGTGTTTCCGGGGGCTCTTTTGTCATGTACACACCGTTCTTTGTGCCATAGCATACTGTTAAAATTGTTCTTTCTTATATTATCATTCACAATATCAATAATCAAAATATGATTCACATTAATCCATTAATCACAACAACAAACAAATTTTGTAGATTTGTACCATTGTTGAATTATAAAACAAAAATATTTACTCAATTATTCAAAATTTAAAATACATACATATATACATACATTCATATGTACAATGTACATACACACATTCATACATACATACAACCAAACAAAACTACGTAAAGAACAGGTAAGAATAAAATCAATGTGTTCTATTTAGAACATTTATGAATCCATGGTGATGCCTGAAACATTAACTATCAAAACCCAACAATAATATATATATATATATATATATATATATATAATATTTGATAAAATCTACCGAATTTTTAGCTTTTGAAAGTTTACGGTTTTATTAATAATATTGAAAAGCTCAACCATAAACTTTCAAAAGCTAAAAGTTCGGTAAATTTGATCAAATATTGCATCAATTATGGTCTCCTTCCAGCCTTTACAAAAACATTTATATACACAATTTTATGTCCACCAAACACAAAATTGTACAAGCATAATATCTAGAGAATAAATGGCATTATAAGATATTTACAATACATAATCATGATGATTAAAACTGTCAATAGCCCAGTTTATTTATTGATATGATTTTTTTGTTCGAGTAGATTACTTTGGTGTTATGTTTTATTGCTTCGATGTTATGTTTTTTTTATTTCTGTATCATTTGCTTTTTCTCTGTCTTTGGTCAATGTACTTTGGTCGATGTTGCTTTCTTCAGTGTCTTCAGTAATCAATTTAAAGTTTGTTCTTTCAATTTCCCTTACTAGAACTTTTCGGAAATTTCCAGAATATTTATATATATAATATATATATATATAATTATTTATATATATATTTATATTATTGATGAAAATCACGGCATGTTCGGCGTTAGTTAACTTCCAATTTAACTTTTCAATTTTTCTAACGGTTGATTGTTGATGAAAATCACAGCATGTTTGAAAACCGTTTGACATATTGTTGAATATTGTTTTATCATCATCATTTTCAAGTTTCTTTAGTTGAAAACCAAAATTTTTGTTTATTTTAGGCATGATAAAACTAAGAACTAAGTATTCACTTTAAACAAACAAGGAATCAACAAAATAGAGTAGAGGCACAGGATATATATATATATTATTATTATTATTATTATCATTTAAATTTATGAAGCGCTTATTAAAAATAATAGTGTTAATTTTTCAAAAGCGCTATCCTATAATTAACAGAAATAGCTGAAAAAGTAGATAAAATAAACCACAAATAAATCAGTTCACAGTTATTGATTAAATAAATGAGTCTTCAAATTCTTCCTAAAGTTTTCAATTCCTGAATTGCACACCCTCAACGACCGTGGCAAATCATTCCATACAACCGCCCCCGATACTGCAATATTTCTTGCTCCTATCTGCAAATGAAAAACAGGCACAACCATCAAATTATCATCATCAGAACTTAGACTTGTGCCAATACGCAAATTTGATTTCTTCTTATTGAACTTGCATGTCAAATATTTTTGCGTAAATCCATTTAAAACCTTGTACATTACCATACAGATTTTATATATTATCCTTTTATTGACAGTTAGCCAATGTAGGTTCCTCAAAATTGGCGTAACGCGATCAAATTTAGCATCACCTGCAACAATTTTAGCAGCTCTATTCTGGATGGACTGAAGCATCACAATCGATCTGTTTGGTAAACCATAGAACAAGCTATTGCAATAGTCCAAACGTGAATGGACGAACGCGTGCATTAATGACTGTAATGTTGATTTGTTCAATGATTTTTTAACTCGATTCAATCTTTGCAGTTGGAATGAACATGTCTTCACAATTGTTTTTATATGATCATTCATAGTTAGTTTGGTGTCAAAAATACACCCCAAATTTGTAGCCCTATGGCAAAACTGAACATTTTCATTTTGTATTATAACTGAATTAATACCAACCCTTGATAACTGCTGCCAGGTGCTTATAGGAAGAAACTGGGACTTGCACTGATTTAACTTCAGATAATTACACGACATCCAAACATCCAATTTATTCAAACATTCGGTAAGCTTGTTAATTTCAAAATGGAAGGTATCAGGTTTACTACTTAAAATTATCTGAATGTCATCTGCGAAAGCATGGTATTTAAAACCAAATGACTCGATAACTCCATAAAGATCAGCTGTATATAATAAGAACAAAATAGGTCCAAGCACAGAACCCTGTGGTACACCGGAGGAGACCAGTTTTATATTTGATAAATTATTTTTATAAGAGACTTGTTCTGTTCTTCCAGAAAGATAAGACTTAAACCAATCAATCACCGTGCCCGAAATCTCAAAATCGTTGTTCATTCTCTCCAACAGAATACCATGATCTACACAATCAAATGCCGCAGACATATCCAAAAACGTCAACAGAGAAACATTTTTCTCATCAATAGCAGCATATATTTCTGATAAAACATATAACAAAGCAGTTTCCGTAGAATGGTAACGTCTATATCCAGACTAGTAGAGAGGAATCAATTTATATTTATCTAAGTCTTTTAATAAACTTTTTGCAACGACGCGTTCGATGACTTTCGACACAAAACACAAGTTTGAAACTGGTCGGTAATTCCTTAGATCACTCCTATCTGCATTATTTTTTTTCAAAATTGGGAGAACAATTGCATGCTTACAACGAGCAGGAAACGCACTAGTTGTCAAGCTTAAATTGACAAAACTTGTCAAAAAAGTAATAAATAAATCTAAATACTTCTTAAGAACATAAGTAGGAATCAAATCCAATAGACACGTCTTTGATGGTAAATTAAATATAATCTTTTTTAATTCCATTTCAGTTACAGGTGGAAAAAATGAAAACAATTCATCACTGTTTAATTTACTTTCATCAAAAGCTGGTCGATTTGCAACGTTCGTAGCTTGTCTAACTCTATCAATTTTCTCTTGAAAAAAATTTAAAAATTGATCAGAGCTATAATCTGGCGCTTCTTGAATTGAAATCGAATTGTTATTGCATAATACTCTGTTGACAATGCTCCATAGATTTTTAGGACTATTTTTATTATTATTGATTAATTTTTTCCAATAAGAATTTCGCTTTTTTGAAAAAAGCTTAGTTTTATGCTTCAAAGCTGTGACCCAATCACCACGACGCTCAGGCAGCAAACAGTTTCTATATTTTCTTTCTTTTCTTCGACAATCTGCTCTTGCAATGTAACATTCCTTATCAAACCAAGGACAGATTAGATCGCACCTAATTTTAACATAACGAAGTGGTGCGATTATATTAACTATCTTCGTCAATTCATCATTAAAAATATTAAATTCACAATCAATGTTGTCGCTTTGACACGGTTTAGATAAAGGAGATTTTTCCACAAGCGTTGCTAAGTCCTCACCATTCATATACTTCCAAGATCTGACTAATTTTATCTTTGTCTTGTTACATAATTGTTTTATTGGTATTTGAACCAAAACCAAACCATGATCAGAGTAGACACCACTTGGTAAAACTCTACAATCTGGAAATCCCTAGAACTGGCAATTAAATCGAGTATACCACCAAGAACATGAGTCGGTTTATTTACATGATTTGTTAATTGAAACATTTCAAAAACTTCGAGTAAATGAATGGTATTCTGATCATTAGCTCTTTCAAGATGAACATTAAAATCACCCGCTAGCAAAACATTTGAACTTAGAACAGAAATATTTTCTAATACATTTACAAGTTCTTCAAAAAACAAAGCACTAACCAATGCCGAGCCAGGTCTGTATACCGCCAACAAAACAAAATCTGTTTTATTTATTATGAATCTAAGAGCAATAGCTTCAAACGTAGTCAGTAGTGGTAAACTAACTTGAAAATACAATCAAACCACCATGATGAGGATCGTGGGATCTCAAATAATCCACAAAATTAAAGCCCGATGGCATTGACAATTTAACTGAAATATTATCTGACGCCCCATGCCAAGTTTCAACCAACACAAAAATATCCAGCCCATCCAAAATCAGTTCATGAACAATATCAAATTTTGAAACAATTGATCTGATATTTAACAAACCAACATTTATTAAATTTACTTTATCTCCGGATGAAATGTTACAATCCTCCACCTTCCCACTGGCCCCACTACTCTGTATAAAAAACCCGACTTATCAGCTGCTTCATCCACTTTTGCCTTGTCAACCAAAGCCCTGTGCTTCTTCCTTTGTTACAATCCTCCACCTTCCCACTGGCCCCACTACTCTGTATAAAAAACCCGACTTGTCAGCTGCTTCATCCACTTTGCCTTGTCAACCAGAGCCCTGTGCTCTTTCTTTCGGTCAATAGTCAAATCATGGCTAAGATCAATGTGTATATATGTATATATATATATATATATATATATATATATATATATATTTATTTATTTATTTATATATATATATATATATATATATATATATATATATATATATATATATTTGAGCATCTGGTCACAAACACAACATATCAATTTGAACACCGAAGATGATATAGGAATACAGAAAAAAGCTTTTCTGTTCTATCATGTATAAAATAAACAAAAATTTTGGTTTTCAACTAAAGAAACTTGAAAATGATTTACGATCAACCGTTAGAAAAATCGATAAGTTAAATTAGAAGTTAACTAATGCCGAACATGCTGTGATTTTCATCAATAATTGTTTTTCTGACAGTCTTAATTATATATATATATAAATATATATATATATATATATATATATATATATCCATGGTTTTACCTTATTTGACAGCTGACAAGCTGTTTTTGATTGGCTTTTGTGGACGCTGAAATGGGGTAATCAATGGCTATGATACCTAGCCCTAAATGTTTGACATAAAAATAAAACAATGATAAAACAGCAATGATAAAACAATATTCAACA